CCCCAAAACCCCAAAACCCCAAAACCCCAAAACCCCTTTAAAATAAAATTAATTTGAATTTAAGTAATTTTTATAAAGAAAGCTAAAAATGTCTATAAACAACGGTAAGATGAGTTCTTTTTATCTCGTACTCCAACTTCCTAGCCCTCTACTCCCTTTGTATTTCTTAAATTTCTCCATTATCCCAAGCAATCACCATCAAATTTACTTCCAATTTCTGGAAATCTTTTGATAACCATCCATTAATAACTTTCTTCTAGTACGTTCAATGTCACCAGCCACAAAACTTCTTGAAAAACGTAGATTAATGTACGAAGAGCAGGAGAAGTACGAAACTAGTAAGGATAAGTTCAAGAAGAGAGAGGAGGAGCTTAAGACCCAAGAGGCAGACCTCATCTCCAAAGATGTAGACCTTCAGAAGCAGCTCATTGGCTTCAGTAAGATCCTCCAGGAAAACCAATCTAAGAAGAAAGATAAGCTCCTGAAAATCAAAACTGAAGAAAATCTTATTAAGGCTAAACAGGAGGAACTTGAAAGGAAAAAGGCGGAGCTTGAGTCTTTAAGGCGTCAGACTCAGAATATCAGCATCAAGGTTAAGTCCATGCGTACATATGAGGCATACCTCGAGGCTGTCAAGGAACGTAATCCTGATGAATACTCCGAAATTGCTGATATAAAGTCTCGATATGAGACACTTAGAAATTCTGATTCACAGAAGAAACAGAAGGAGATACAGTCAATTTATGAAAAGGAAAAATCTGAGATGAACAATTTTGTGAATTCTACAAATATTGAAATCATGAGTCTGAATAACCAGATCACCAACAAACAATCAGAGAAGGAGAAGATGGACGAGGAGCTGAACAAGAAGAAGGGTATCCAAGAGGAAGAGACCGCCAAAGAGCTTAAGAAGACCAGTGAGATCGGGCTCATTCTCATGGCTATTGACAACCTCTACAACAAATGTGTCAACTCAAAGAATCAGAGCAAGTTTAGAAGACCTAATGAAAGCGGAGTCTTGGGCAACAAGAACAAGTCCTTTAAGGAAAAGACTGAGATGGCTCTGAAAAGACTCGATGCCATCTCTGATGATTATGAGGACTTTGGTGAGATTCTCAAGGAACTGAGAAAGAAGCCTACAGGAGTTTAAACAGATTATAAAAAAATATTATAGATAGGGGTTTTGGGGTTTTGGGGTTTTGGGGTTTTGGGGTTTTGGGGTTTTGGGGTTTTGGGG